CTTTCCCTTGGCAGGTTTTGTGAGGTTGAGCAAAACCAGCACAGGTTGACAAGGGAGGAAGTAGCTACCAAATCAGCAAATTGAGCTGGGCAGCCCCTCTGGAGGCTGTGACGCTTGAGCTGAAGCTTAGGTTTCTCTCTGCATCCATCTGGCTTTGGGGGACCCAAGAATTTCCCAGGAAAGACGTATGAGCCCCAGTGTCTGTGCCTTCTCCAGCCCAAGGCCCATGAGAAAAGTCTCATCCTGTGTCCTCCTTACTTGTCTGAGAGATGGGGTGAAACCCAGGCCCAGTGGGGGTGGGGTGTCCCCAGCACCCTGTCAGCAAGGCTGAGCTCCCCAAGCTGTGCAGCCGTGAGGCCGACCGCCATCCTCTTTGGGTCACATCGTGCCAAGGGGTCCCACGCTGGGCACACGTGGCATGCACTTGCACGGTGCAGGGCCACAGGGTACTGACTTTACCTGTCCTTTCTATTGACATGCCGCATGTGTCACACTTAGGACACAGAGGAAGGAAGCTGGGCACAGGTGAGGTCCTCGTGTCACCTTTTTCCGCGGGCGGTACATGGGCTGGTTATGGGAGGGAGAACTGGACATCACAGGGCAGCCGGGGGATGAGCTTGGGGCATCTGTATTCACCAAGTCCCGCCTGGAGTCTGAGCCTGCACCCTGTGGTTGCTCCTCTGAGCTCTCTCTCGAGCACGGGGTGGTCCTGAGACCTTGCATCAAGCAGCCTCCTTCTCTGCTTCAGGCAGAGTGACTTTTTCTGTGTAAGACACAGATCCTGTGTTAAAACCCAAATGTAAGAGTGACCAGCCACCCTGCATGGGAGGCTGGTTTCTAGCTGCATAGACATTTAGTTTTCACTTTTTTTTTGGCCCCAAGTTCAGGATATAGACCGTTTTCATGAATTGAAAAGGTGGGAGGAAAAAGTCCTGCTTGGATCCATCTCTTCTGGTTTTGATCACTCTCAAATGTTTTACTTACCTTCTGGTGGATTTTATTTTGGTTTTGGACCCAGAATCAGCTTGCAGTGAAAGTGAATGGATGTTTTTCTGCTCAAAACTGACCTTTTTTTCATTTTGAAGTCATAAGGTAGATCTTTTGGTGATTTCTAAGCTTCTTAAAAATCAGTTGGGAATGCACTGAAATCTATTAGTTGTTTCAGCTTTCATGAATGTGCTTTCTCCAGAAGAAGCTGGTCATAAAGTCCAGCTATCCCTTATGCTTGCTTTTTGGCTACTGCCTTGTCTCCTTGGGGGACATCAGTAGGACACAAACCATGGCCAACAGGACTGTTCCCTCCAGCTCCTTCAGAACAAACTAGGGTTAAACTCCTCTGGCCCAGGTTTGGTCCTCAGGACAGTGACTCCCAGGCTGCAGCACTGAACTGTCACTGGTCTCCCAGGAGTCTGCAGCTCCACCAAGCCCTGGTTTCTCCCTAGCTTCTCCATTTGCTTCTCCACAGACACTGGCCTATGGGGACATGAACCACGAGTGGATTGGGAACGAGTGGCTGCCCAGCTTGGGTCTCCCACAGTATCGGAGCTACTTCATGGAGTGTCTTGTTGATGCACGGATGCTGGACCACCTCACCAAGAAGGATCTCAGAGTGCATTTGAAGATGGTTGACAGCTTCCACCGGTGAGTCCCATCCTTTGGGAGGTCCCTGGGGTGCAACGTCTGCACATGGAGCAGAGGATGGAGCAACTTGAGGGATTCTCTCCTGTCTTGATCAGCCCTCGTGCTGGAGAATGGCTCTTGTAGGCTAAACTCAACCACCCAGTCTGGGGCAGCTCATATGGGCAAATGTTCTCCTTCAGCACACTCTTTGCAGCAAAATTGCAGAGGGCCAAGCCTTCTCCTGGCTGTGGAGCAAACCACAGGCAAAAATAAAGGCTCATCCCACCTGATACCCCACTGGCAGGCAGAGCAGTCATCCGCCAGCAGCCCAGCTTGGAGAAGGCTTATGCCATCCCAACCACCTTGCTCAAGCACCAGTATCCAGCCCTGTCGTGGGTACCACCATCCACCCCGACCCCTGGGGTAGTCCGTGGGCCTGCCAGAGCCCCCCCTGCTCTGGAGACGAAGCCTTCAGCCTGGAGCAGCCCCCATGGGCTAGTTCTCCCTTCCCTCTCCAGCCACCAAGCACGGAGTATCGTTATTTGGATCCATGTGCTCTCAGGCAGGTGGACCAGGGTAAAAGTGATGGAGTGGGGAATTACCATGGAAGGGAGGGACATTCCCCATTTTCTGGCCAAGATCTTCCCTTTGGGTTGTATCTGTCCTGACCCAACCCTGAACTGAAGCATCCTTTGGGCACATGGAGAGCAAGCAGGGAAGTGGGTCCTTCCACGAGTCCCTCCAAACCACCTGCCCCGCGATGCTGAGCCCTCCTGAGGGTTGGGTGACATCTCATGTCCTTGCAGCACCAGCCTGCAGTACGGCATCATGTGCCTGAAGAGGCTCAACTACGACCGCAAAGAGCTCGAGAGGAGGCGAGAAGAGACCCAACATGAAATCAAAGGTCAGCAGCCCCATACATGATCCAGCTCTGGAAAAGGAGATGAGGAACCTCCCAAGGGATGCCCAGTGATGGTCCCTCTCCTATCCTTTATTTTTAACACAGCATTTGCCTAGGGAAAATCATAATTTCTAAACAACCCTGCCCACAGGGCTGTTCTCCAGGAAGGACCTCCCTGCAGTATTTCCCCAGCAGATTGCTCCAAGTGCCTTTATGCAGCTTACCCCAGTCAGGCATGAGGGAAGAAGGGTGTCACAACAGGAAAGATCCAGTCCAAGGATCAGATCATCTTCTCCTGCCCATTTCAGATGCTCAGGACAGCCCCCAGCTTGCTCATCCTCCCCTTCCTTGTTGGCTGTCCTGAGATTCCCTGCGCATCTGGCTGCTGCAGAGATTACATCTCATTATTGATAATGCCCCTAATTACACCAGCAGCCGTGGGTTCTTAGGATTAATTTTCACAGTTGTTTTCTGCCTATTATTTCAGCATTTTATTTTGGTAAATTGAAATGAGCTGTTCCTGGCACTTGAGCAGCCAGTATTGCTGCTGCCTCGGGAAGGAAAGTCCTAGGATCAGCCTGGGACTGTGCCAAAGGGCTTCAGGACATCGTCAGGTCCCTGCAACCAAGAGCGTGGTCTGAGCTGGCTCTGAGACATGCCCTTGCTCTTTTGCAGACGTGTTGGTGTGGACCAACGATCAGGTCATTCACTGGATCCAGTCCATCGGACTTCGCGAGTATGCAAACAACCTCGTCGAGAGCGGGGTGCACGGGGCACTCCTGGCCCTCGATGAAAACTTCGACCACAACAGTCTGGCGCTCGTGTTGCAAATCCCCACGCAGAACACGCAGGTAAGAGCAGCGCGCTTGGGGGATTTTGGAGGAGAGGGGCCAGCGTGGGACACGGCTGCAGTGTGACTCCACCAGTCCCACCAACTCAACTCTGCCTTTCAAAGCAGAGCACGCAGATGGCGCATGGGCTTTTTCTGTCATCCCCATGGGGATGGGGATTTGTGCTGGGAACTGTTCCCACCGACGGGGAATGCTCATTCGATGTTACTTTCAGGCTCGACAAGTGCTGGAGAGGGAGTTCAACAACCTGCTTGCCTTGGGCACAGATCGGAGGCTGGACGACGTGAGTACAAAACCTCTCCCACGTCCAGATCATGCCGAGCGCCTGTTCTTGTGCAAGAAACAGGAGAGACAGGACCTCTGCTCTCTCCCTCCTTGTCCAGGGATGTCAAATAGTGCATCACAAACTCTCTAGAGCAGCCACATGAGCAGTATCGGTGGAATAAGGTAAAACTATTAGACAAGGCTGTGAGGAACGTGCTGCCAGGCTGTGGAGGCAGATGAGGTAGAGTCTTGTGCACCATTTCTAGCCTCATGCTTGGTGGGCTGAATTTCAAGTAGACTCACCTGGCTTTCCTTGCCAGCTGCTTTAATATATTGCCTTTAGAGTCACAGATGTTCTGGGCATGACACATCCACAGCGGGTGAAGCTGGTGGGTTGGAGATGCCCTGTTAGGCAGCCAGAAAGCTGTTCATGTTGAGTCACTGAAGGTGGGAATTCATCTAGATCTCTCCTACGTATAGCTTTCCTCCATGAGAGATGATAGCAGAGCTAGTCAGGGCTCTTTTTAGAGCACAGAGAGAAGCAGGTGCTTCCAGATGCCATTATCTGGCCGAGGTTAGATACCTCCCTTGAGGTCTTCATTGGGGCTTGTGTGTTGATGTCTTCAAGGCATCTTTGCAGGCTGGCTGGAGAGAAGAGATAGACAAGCTGGAAAGGATAAAGCGTATGTCATGGGATCCTGGAGAGGTCTCCTATGTCCTTGGCCTAATTTGATCACGCATTTCTGCACTGTTTGAGTTGGTCTCCGTGTACAGGCACAGCCTTCGTTAGGTGGAAGCAGTGCTGGTATCTCAGAGGGGCAGAAGGTCCTGCTGCCACTGCTGCCAGGCCTGTAACCTGCTCTTCCCTCACAGGGCGACGACAAGACCTTCCGTCGAACCCCGTCCTGGCGAAAGCGCTTCCGCCCACGAGACGTTCACAGCATCAACATGCTCAGCGGCTCGGCCGAGACGCTGCCCGCTGGCTTCCGTGTCACCAGCCTGGTGCCCCTGCCCCCTCCATCCGCCCCTGCCAAGAAAATGCCCCCAGAAGGTAGGTCACCCCCTTCTCCCCAGGGTCCTCTCCCACCCCTGCTCAGACCTCGTGGTGAATGTGGGGAATGGTGTGCCACCAAGAGAGGAGAGGGAGAGAGGCTTGCCGATCGCCTGTGATGCTGAATCCATGTGGTCCTTGAGCCGTTGTCTGCTGTAAATGTTTTCTCTGGAGGGTTATTTCAGACTCTGTCCTGGTGGGTGGTTTCTTTGTTTCGAACTGCCAGGACTCTGCCCTGCAGAGGGACCTGGCCAGGCTGGATTGTTGTGCTGGGGCCAACTGTATGACGTTCAACAAGGCTCAGGGCCGGGTCCTGCACTTGGGGCACAACAAGCCCATGCAACACTACAGGCTGGGGGAGGAGTGGCTGGGAGCTGCCCGGTGGGAAAGGACCTGGGGGTGCTGGTTGACAGCCTCCTGAACATGAGCCAGCAGTGTGCCCAGGTGGCCAAGAGGGCCAATGGCATCCTGGCTTGTATCAGGAA